CAAGGGCAGCTGATCTATATCCATCAAGGGGATAAAACTTATTGTATGTTCATATTGGAACCAATGAAAATTAATTCACTTGTTTTTAAAACATCTGTGTATGAATTGACAGCTTCTTCTTTTCTCTCTCACCCATCATAAAAACAAGGGGGAATAAAAATTGCAAGAGTCAAAATTACCAACCAGTTGCAATAGTGTTTCCTACAGGAAAATCTTCAGCATTTAGTTTTGTTAAAACTTTATCCAAAGTATCACCTAAAGCCTTGCCATAAAATGTATAGGGGAATCAGATTTTACATAAGATGTTTGCCAATAAAGAACTGTTCTTGCTTATTCTTATTCTACTCTAAACACGAGCTGACTTGTCAAACAGAACAAAAGATTTTAATTAATGATGTCTACCAAATATAGTTCATCTTGGTATGCAAATTGATAATGCTCATAACAATATTTTTTTCACAGTTTTGTCACAATGACAGTATCACAACTTTAAAGGAAACAATTTTACAAATTTCAAGTAAAATATGTTTGAAGAATTTCTCTTGCAAGGCACAAGTTAACATATTCACTGGAAAACAAGTTGTTTGAATCATGTTTTTACTCCCAGTAATGCTGATTTTATATGTATTTGTAATTACTTCACTAAAAGGGGCTGTCAAAAGCTGATTTTCAAGTTCACCAAATTTGTTTTGTTTTTAAATTAGCTTATGGACCCCATATAATCTAAAATATGCATTATAATCAATATATGATCTAAAATGTGCATTAGAATCAATATTGACGCAGGCAGACTGGACATTTTTTAATGAAAGATGAACAAGATTGTGAAACATATTAACTCCCATCAGTCTGCCCTCTACCAGTTTTTTCTGGCTGTTTCTAGATGTTCATTAACATTCAGATTTTAGGGTAACATCGTAACCAAAATGTATCTTATTCTAATTGACAGACTTCCATTTTTTGCTTCAGTAATTACAGATAATGAACCTTCTCTTCGATAATATGCAAAACTCCAGAGCATTGTATAGCATTCTGTATATTTTTGGGAAAAAAAAAAACTCTTTCATTTTGTTCTGAGTCTATTGTTTTGTGTCCCTTCATCCAGATGTGTGTGCATTGACAATTTTTGACCTGTCATTTCCCTTCTAGATCAATTATATTTTGATTTGAATCCCTATTCCCGAATTATTCTATGCAAACAATGATACTATTTTTAAACATAATTACTACTGTTGTTTACTGAAATTTTTACCATCTCAAACTGTTCCTACGGTTACTGAAATGTGTCTATAGATTGCAACATGTTGGAACAGTCACTTCTTTCTGATGATAATATTGGTACCACTGACTAATTTGTTGCTAAGCACTATGGTGTTGTTTTGTTCAGGAAAATGAATTCAAGTTATTCAAAAACACACATCACAGACATAACAACATTAAAATTATTTTTAACTGCTGCTTACTTAGCAGGGATGGTTTTTTCTTCATGCAAAAATTCTTGTACACAAACTTTCTGACTCTGAAGGTTGTCAGGGGCTGATTTTTGTCAAGTTTACAATATACTTCTCGTTTGAAATATTTGTGGATACAAAAATGAGGTAGGGAACGTGACTTAAAGATATTGTTCATCCATGTGTAGAATGGGAGGGATCTTTAACTTTTGATATACGCATGGAATAACATAAATATCACTATAATTTATATTAAAATTTGCAGTTTAGGGTTGTAATTTTTCAACATAATTCAAGGGAACATGATCTCAATGCGGATAGCTTAAAATTTGTGCAATATAATATAATTTTGTCCTCTGTATGTGCTGAATAAATAAAAATTTGCCGCAGCGAAAAATTTTCTTTCAGGAGGCCAACTCACATCATCAACTCAGTTGATAAAACCAAATTATTGAGAAGTACCTCCTACTAGCACAGCACCACTGACAGTTTCTTCAAAAACTTACCTCCTTTATTTATTGAGGTTATTAAGTTACATTCAGTTTGAAGTAAATTATGCATGTTAGATTTTTGTCAACAAGGTGGTTCAATATTATGAATTTCAGAGAATGTTGAAATTGAGGAAGTCCTGCCCCTCTGCCGCCCTACCAGTTCACAACAAGTTCAATGTAGCAAGTATGGCAACTTCACCCCAAAACATTTACTTGTTTCCTTGGGGCAAAACCTGTTTCTTTTCTTACAAAATTTTTAATAAATTCAATTAACATGCAAATTTCATCCTCAAACTGAGATGCTTGAGTCAGCAAACATGCTAAGTTGCTTTCAAATTCTGGCCTCCACCAGTGTTGCATGATATAATTGATTGGTTTTGGAGTATTTTATTTTTTTTATATTGCAGATGATGCACCTGCAATAAATTATTCACCCAACTCTAATTTGTTTCCTTTTCAGTAAAGGAAAGGCACACAGTTTACACATGGCAGATGATACAATCGTTATAACACCAGATCACCTTCATGTTGATCAGGTTTCAGAAATTGTTGGTGCTCCAAGTGCTGGAGCAATCTCACTGTTTGTAGGTGGGCCTAGTTTTCTCTACCTTGTTACAAGATCTCCTTAGTTTACCATTAATCACAGTGTACTTTAGCCCTTTAACTCTCATGAGTGACCAAGACAGAAATTTTCCTTACAATATCAACCAGATAAGTGATGAGAATAAAGAAAAATATCAATATGAGGATAATTAGTTGATCCAACACTAAGTTCTCTGAACTAACATTATAAGAATTGTATGATTGACAGTATGGAGAATTACAAATTTGATCTGGGAGTTAAAGGGTTAAGTGTAATTTTGAGTGATAGATGACAAAATACCTGTTGTTGTCACTGACAACTAGTTGATCAACGTCTCTAATGCATCACTAACTATTGGTTATTGGTTTGCCAACTATTTGTCAGTAGCTGACCTGCACTTTTGCCAAAACCATTAGCAGTTGACCATCATTCACCCAATAATTAACATGCAGTTTTGGGGAACTTTTTTCTCTTTACTTGGACTCTTTAACTCCTCAAGTGACAAGTATCTAATTTCTCCAAAAAGTATCATCCCTGATTCAAAATCAAGGATGAGCTTAAAGGAAATGATTGTAAAGTTATGTACTCTTGGCTGTTCAACAAATTCTTCATGTGAATATGATAGGAAATGAGAGTATGGAGAACTTGTATATTAGTGTTAGGGTGTTAAGAGTTAAGTTTTCCAATGCAATGTCTTTTACTTACTTAGTAAACAATCATGATTATGACATGACTGTGTTTTATATTCCTTTAGGGACCACAAGAGATAATTTTGAAGGTGATCATCAAGTTTTTTATTAATTGCATGTTTCCTGTTATCAGTATACTCATTTATTAAATTATGGTCCTTACAAGAAGAAATGTGAGACAGTTTGTTAGTGCTAGTTTACATCTTTAAATCAATAGTGTTTCAGGCCTCAAAAATTACAAATTGACTGTAAGCTGTAATTTTCCAGATTCCTCCAGTTAGTAAAATTTGCTTGTCCATAAAGAGATCTGAGTCTACTAATGTCAACAGTTTTCTTAGTCTTACATCAAGTAACAGGTTATTATTCCAAAATTGTGTCAATTGCTGCAAAGCTATGGTACTCTCTCTGAAGTAGAAGTGAAATTTATATGATACTTCTGCTCTAACAAATAACTTTTTTTGTCAGGAAAAACAGTAGTGCGTTTGGAATACGAAGCATACATACCTATGGCTAGGTCAGAGATGCGCAAGATCTGTAAGCAAGTGCGAGAAAAATGGGATGTGATCAAAATAGCCATCTTTCATAGAATTGGGTAAGTTCAACCCTTGTTTGCCAGGTTCAAAAATTGGAGAAAGTATCAAACTTTAGAAGATTTCATCTGTACTCAAGCCAAGTGCCCCATCCAGTGGGAGCTTATCATGCTTTCCTTAGCATAAAACAGCAAGGGGTATCACTACTCTTCCTTGGGTGAGATGCCAGTCCATCACAATGTTACCCCTTAGCATTTAACCAGGCTTGTCTGACTACTGGCTGGGACACTTTTGTACCCCTGGGTGGATAGAGGCACTGTGAATGTGTAATTTGTGATAATCGTAATATGCATAAATTTATATTTTGCTGGCTTGTATCAGAAGACTGGAGGCAGGTGCAAGGTGCGCAGAGAGTTATGGGAATGCAGTTTGCAATTTAAGGTTGTTAGAAGAGCAAGGAATTATGCAGTCAGCCTTCGCTGTATTAAGTTGTAAGATTTCATTTTTGTTTAAATTTATTCAGTTTTTTTCTTCCTGAAACATTGTCATGTTCTCATCAGGTATAACCTAGAGCTGTACTTGCATACTTCCTTGAGTGGCTGTCATCTACTTGCGAACGTCATGTTACTCATAGGATGCCCTAAAACCCTAAGGGTGGCACCACTGCCTTTTTTGAGGAAACATGTTCCCCCTTATATCCACTTGCTGGTTTTTAGGGGTTTTCATGTTGGGCTTTGGTGCATTTAGTTTCCTTCAATCATAATTATAGTAAAAATATTGTAAGCATATTGGTGTTAAACAAACAGTACAATGGCTTGGCTGGCTGGCCAATGCACCCAGTTATCGACATTTGTGTGGTCCAAGGTAGAGACCAGCCTGGTTGACCAGGAGTCCAGTGCACTAACCATAAGTGCACCTCATTGCTCAATTTTAATGTCACTGTGTAATTCAGAAACTGTGTTTGATGAACAGTTGATCACAAATAACAATGTTTTTGCAGGGTGGTACCCATTGGAGAAGCCAGTGTGATTATTGCTGTTTCATCAGCTCACAGGATGAATTCTCTTGAAGCTGTACAATACTGCATAGATACTTTAAAAGCAACAGTACCAATATGGAAAAAGGTACATTTGAAATTCACCTTTTTTCTTCCTACTTTAACCTTTTTCCATGGAAATTCAGAACTTTCTGAAATTTTCAAATAACAGTAGGTAGAGGCAAGGCTGAGAATGGAAATCATTGCAAAACCACAATTCAGTTCATTGAGATTTAATGTGAAAATGAAATATTTCTAACCTATTCCTTAATCTTTATCATGTAGTCTGTTTCTGTGGGTTATATACTTTTGTAGAAACCTATAATTATTACAAACCAACATACCGCAATGATCAATTCATGGTTGGCTTGTTAGCTCAGTTGGTACTTCCCTGGTTTGGTAGAGATCATGGGTTCAAATGCCTTACAGGTCTGAAATTTTTTCAGGCTGTTACTGCATAAGTAGTGTCCATTACTGCGAAGATTGCTGTCAAATTTATTTCTTGATCTGCAGTTCACATAATTATATGATTTTCATATATTCACAGTCATATACTGATTCTGTTGTATTATAGTGTGAGTCCAAGATGCTATGCTAATGTCAGAATTTAATTTAAAATTGCTCTACAGTGTAATGCTATAATTCCATTAAACCTACATGGGAAACCCAATATAAAATAAGAGAAGCATTTTGAACATTCTACATTTACTTATTGTACCTTTCATTGTCATTTTCAGGAAGTCTACGAACAAGGTGAACCAAGTTGGAAAGAGAACTCAGAATGCTTCTGGGCAAAGAAAGTTGGGTCATCAAAACAGTCTACAGTGTAACAAAGAACAGGCAAGCCATCTGCTAAAATAACCTGGCATGTCATCACCATTAATTACAAAGATGTTTGCAATCAAGACCTCTTCCATCCTCACCTAAAAATCAACTCTTCAACCCACACATCACAATGGATGTTCATTTTACTAATAATTTATGCCAGACTTTGATTTAGTTCACCAATGTCTTCACTGACCAATGTCAAATCTTCATTTCGCAGTCAATTTATTGCACTGCATGAACAAACGGTTATGAGTGTAATAAGTACAAGCAAAATGTAACAATTAGTGTATAGATGTCTTGTGCAAAGGTGCATTGTATGCTAGAGAGAAGCAAATATTTTAAAATGACATACAGTAGAATGTAATAATAAATATGACATTAATGATTTAGCATAGTCATGTTTTACACAGAATAAGTCTTATCATTGAACCTTTTCATTAGAGTACATGACAGATAGGATACCTCTAGATATAATCAGATAAACTGCTTACTAGTTTGTCACAGCGCAATGAATTCTGAAATTACTACCTATGAAAGGTGTTTCAAAACATTTAAAAGTAGAGTACAAAGATTCTATTTACAACACAAAAGTAAAATGTGATACACAGAGACAAGAAAACAAAAGGAACATTGATAACAAATAATAGAGACAGAGGCCTCTATGATTTTGTTTGTTTGTTTGTTTTTAATTTAAGGTTTAATTTAGATGGCAGTGTACATTTTTTAATGAATTGCTTGATGTGGTTCCCTCATCTCTCCAATCACCATCTGCAAAGCAACCCCTCTTGTTGTTCCCCTCTTATTTTCAATTTGTTATTGTTCATCAAATCCCCACGGCTCTTAAATCACTCACTCTCTGGATGGTGACCTTCACTCTCTGGATTGTGGCCTCACAGAAAAGAGTAGGTCTGCAAACTGACTGGATCAGCATTAGTCAGCAACTTCCTTAGACCATGCCAAACTAGAGACACAACAGACACAAAAGTCTCTTCCAGCTTCTTCTTAAATCTCAGTCTTCCATCCTAATGTGAAGAAATGTACTGGGATAGAATAAAAATGGTCTCATCTACTTGTAGCTCACTCTGATCCAACCTATAGACAAAGTCAGGCACAAATTTAGTGGCTTCATTCAACATTGAAGAAATTTGAAATTAACTTTGTTCTTCTCTTTGCAAATGTTTATGGAATATTTAATATATCTGAAAATGACATATATTTCCTGCTCTGAATGGTTGAAAAAGGTGGTAAAATGGGCTGAGTCACTGGAATTGACATACAGAGGTCTCCTGGTCAAATTGCACTTGGGTTTGTTTCCTCATAGATCCAAGTTGAATGCATGCAAGTACATAATTTCATAAATTAACAACAAGTTTACTGTTAACAAATGTAAGAACAGAAACAACACTGGGCCACAAATTATTACATTGATCTTGAACACATGCCATTTGTTGAAGTGATCTCGAGCATGATGAAAATGAACAGTAGAAAAACCCTTGCTGTGACTGACTTTGACGTTACTTACTTGGCAAGAGAAAGCTTAAGTTTCTTTAGCTGCTCTTGTTCTGCTGGAATAATAAACTCTCGCAGCTCAGCTATAGCCTCTTCTGATGTCTCCTCCCCATGTTGAGCCTTCAGTGTGTTTATTGTTGCCTCCACTCTCTCTTTCTTTTCAATTAAACGTCTAAGGAAAAATGAGCGAGGTCAATGCAGGACTTGGTGGGAAAAAAAACCCGGGTTCTGTATTACCAATGAACAGAAAATAGCATTTCTATGTTTAACTCTTTAACTCCCATGAGTGACCAAGACAGAATTCCTCCATACAATTTAAATACAACATCAACCAGATAAGTGATGAGGATAAAGAAAAATAGCAATTTCAGGGTTAATTAGTCGATCCTATACCACATTCTCTGACCTAACATTATAAGAATTGTATCATTGACAGTAAGGAGAATGAGAAATTTGATCTGGGAGTTAAAGGGTTAACAGTAGCAGGTTGTTCTCATTAGCAAAAGAGGTTATACCACCCCTGATGGGTAAAGAACCTGCCCAAACCAAACCTTCCTTCCTTTTTCACTCCAACACTACATAAGCACCTTTACTATTTCCCCCTGCTTTATGAACTGAGCATCTGGAACTGCCTATCACCCCTGCCTCCTACAATAATTGTGGCATGCATATGTGGATGCATGGGGAGGAACCAGTGTGATTTCATAGGTTTTTATACTTGTTGAAACAATACAACAGAATCAATTAGAAGTGATGTTCCATACCTGTGCTCCTGTATTTCAGTCTCCCTTCTGCTCATCAGGTTCCCAAGTGCCTGGAAAAAAGAACCATGTGTGTTAACTATATCACAAAGCCTTATCAAATAATGTATTGAATACCAACCATTTTAAAAAAGACTAAGAGCAAGTAATGGACTTAAATCCTTCTTTTCAATAGAATTTGGTCTCAGTAACATACAACCCACACTGGGGTGAACCCAATTAATACCCTCACCCCCTTAAACTCCCAAGGTCTGATTGTTAATTCTCCTCTCTAGCTGCTACACATTTCATTGTAAATTAGTTATGAGAATTTGGTGTTAGATCAAGATAGCAACATCTACCTGATAAGTTTGAATATTCTCACTACCTGTTTGCTAGATAATGTAAAGATATTATAGGGAGAAGTTTCATGTTAATCACTTCTGGGAGTTAAGGGTTAAAGGATTAATTCTTTTTCTAACTGCTACACATTTTCTTGAAGATAAATTATGAGAATTTGGTGTTAGATTGAGAAAAATGTTTCTACCTGATAACTTTGAGTATTCTCATTACCTACTTGAAAGAAATTATATGGAAATTATTGCAAGAAGTTGCCTGTTAATCACTTCTGGGAGTTTAAGGGTTAAGAACTGTTTTATTTTTTTGTGAATGTTTCTGTGCAAATACATGTTGTGTGAGAGGCAAGAGTTTCATTTTCTTCAACCCTTGTGACTTGTTTTTCTTGTTGCTCAAGTGTTGAAATATTCTGACATTAAGAGTTGCCATAATCAATGTCAGCTGGTGGTTAAAAGTAATCTGATTGGTCACCTGATAGGATTTTTCAAGCAGCATTCTACTAAGCTGTGGAAGATTCACAGAAAACAAGTAAACTGTTCTTGATGGGGCATAATCAGAAGCTCGGGGGATTTCCTGTTAACAGAGAAAAGCATAATGTTATGAAAACAAAGTTGATAGCTTTTTAAAGATGATTAACAAACAGTTTTTTTTTTTTACCTGTAGTGCAATAAACCTCTCTGCAAAAAGTTTGTAGAGCAGCTCCTTGACATCTTTAGATGGAATCATGGCCAACTCACCAATCTGAAAATTTTAATGATTTGAAATCATAATCATTTACAAAAAAATTTGTTAGTGGCAGGGTTAAAGACCTGGTTGCTTCAGAGAAA